AGGCATGGGCAAATTCCCTATCACAGGCAGGAGTTCAAGACCCCACTGAAGCCCCCACTAGCTGATCTACATTATTAGTCACAGCAGCTCCCTAAGCACTATGTTTTTCTCCCCTCTCTTCATTAATAATAATGGAAAACTTTTTTCCTCAAGTGACTTTTGCCATCATCACTGTCCCACGTGGAGAACACTCCCATTAACAAAATGAAAAATGGTGAAAAAGCATGATGGCCCAGCCCGTGCAGACGGATCACCGGGCAGAGGAGGTGCTCAGCACATCCTGCTCCACAGTTACCCCACAGCCTTCTGTTTGCTAGAGTTACCCAGGGACAATGCTCTGATCCCTTTCTACGTAAGCAAGTCACTCCTCATAACTGATTGGGACTGAGTGTAAGCACCAGCTGGCAAAGCGCAAACAGCTCTGAACTAAGCTGCTCTAACTGTGAACAGCTTTCAGAGCTCAAAACCTGCGAAAGTCCTCAGGTTCACCAGAACATGTGCAATCTTCAGGAGTGAGGGCCAATATGCAGAGCAATGCTTTGTGCCTCTGACATTGCTTTTGCACCAGGACACTTGCTAGTATAACATGCCATCTGGAGAGTCTTAAAAATGAACAAAAAGGGAGATCCTGAATGGACCTTGGTATGACCTTCACTTTGAGGCGACATGAACGCAAAATTCAAATTAAAATGAAGCTTTTCAGAAACTTATGTGACACAGAAATGATGAGTGATTCATCAGAGAAACCACATGCAATCCATTAAAACCTCAAGAAAAAAAACAGAAAGCAAATTTAAAAAGAAATTATTCTAATCTGAACTAGAAAGAAAAACAGGACATGTGTATTAAGACAGTCCAATGGCCTTACCCACTAAAAAGCCTCAGAGATTCACAGTGTTCTGAAGGAATTAGACACATTGGTTGCTCACAGTGTTGTCTCTCGCTTTAAGAGCATCACAGGGAAAAGAATTGAGCCTCTCCGGGTGGTTTTTCACTGCCTTAAATGCACTCGTTTCTCCTCACGTCTCTCTGTCTCATTCTGCAGCACACTTTCCAGGAGAAAACGGACCAGAGGTCCTATGCGGACATCGTCCTCTTCCCTGGCTGCTCCTGACTCATTCCTTTAACTCAGCTCATTTTGCTCACGGTTGAAAACAGCAGGAGGTGACTGTATAGCTTAAAAGTTGTAGGGGAAATCTTTGCCTTACTGAAGCGCAGGAGAACTTTAGCAGTGGTTTTAGGAGGGCCAAAAGTTTGATTTCTTCCTGTACTTGCATAGACTGTGTTGGTCGAGCAGTTAGGTGGAGGTGGTACATTAGCTGGGGCAAACAGAAGCAATAATGTGGAAGGAAAAAGAATATTTTAAAGCATTTCACCTGAACACTTGTTTTCTGTGGAAACACATTTGGTAGCTTGATGTAGACCTTCCTGAATTCTGACTGCCAATAAAATGGACAGTTATTTATATGGGTTTGAGTCTCCTAGAGCTCTATCTTGGCTCTTCTCCTCAGGTCAAGCTCCATGGCTCAAGCTTGCAGAGGCCCTCCTCCAGCTGTGTGAAACCTTAAAAGGCACTTAATGAATTAGGCATTATTAATATTCTCTTCCAACATCAGAAGGCAGTAATTAACTCTTTGAAGACTCATCCCAGATACTGTTTTACAACTTTCATTCCTCAGAGGCAGCTATATAATCTCATTGTGATTTTAAAGAATATCTTTCCATATTAATTATTTTCCCTGTCTGGGAAAAAAAGTTCAAAGTCCTGGTTCCGCTTTGGTGTGTGCATTAGTGACATTAGACGTGCCATAAAGATTTCAGAGCACGAAACGTGATATGCTGCAATATTTGGGAATTACAGATTAAAAGTCAAATCACCACCCTGGGCAGGAGAGATCACTGTAGGTTGAAAAGCTAGTAGACATGCTCACTATATGGACTCATAAATGCAGTATGATGGCCGAGGTACCTACCACAAAAAAAAGACAACAAAAATCCAGAGTTGATAATAGCAACCTGAGCAGATGCCTTAAGTAGGTCATTCAACTTGCCAGGACTCTACATGTTATTTGGGAGCGAGAAAACACTGTTTTACCACTTTAGCAAGACTTTCTCTTCCCTGTCATGTGGAACTAACCTTTTGTGCTCATTATTATTATTAATTTATTAGCCTTTTGAACATTTAAATTGTTTTGCAGTCTATGGACTACACCTAAGTGCTGGTGGAGGGACAGTGCAGCACAAACACGTGTGCATGCACCCATATCCATGTAAGTGTATTTCAAAGAGCAGACCTGATGAGAAAATAATTCTATCTATATATTTTTGACAGTAAGAAGAGTCATTTTCTTGAGCACAGAACTGCAAGGAGTGTATTTTTGTTATAATTAAATGTCAAATCTTGTGAGTGATGACTATGTAGAAAAGTGCTAAGTATATTTCTATTGAAATCAATTAAAGGAGACAATGATTTTCTTTCCATTTAGATTGCATGACTCCAGCACAAACTGCTGCAGTACAGTGCAGCTCTGTCAGCCTGGTTTCATTGCCTGAACACCTGCTTTCTGCTCTCCTGATGAAACTGTCCCAGATGACACTACTTTTCCTAAGAGAGGAACTCACCGTCAAACACTTCTGTGCCCAACAGGGAATCACATACACTTTCAGCAGATATGAGGTTTGAAACAGTCCCCTGAATAACTTTATGTAACAAGACTTAGACTGTATCCCTGGTGATGAAAGCAGCATGATCTAATTTGTGCCTGGGAACAATGCACAGCATTTCTGCAAAGTGGGCTCTGGCTCAGCACATCTTACCGCAATACTAGAAGTAAGACTTGTCCCAAAATCGTTCTTGAATTAAACTGTAGGAGACATCATAGGTGGAGTTCATTTGATGTACCCTAAGATTTAAAAGTTAGTAATCATAGACTCTCTCAAAAGTCAACAGACAGGGGATGGTTTTCCTACCCCAGATTGTGATTGCCTTCTGGAGGAACCATTCCTCATGGGCTATGAAGGTGACTGGTGACTAGCTTGGATATCATCACCCAACTTCTAGTGACTGGAACACCACCCTGCATGTATCACACTGACACAATTTTTCTTTGCCTCCCCATCCACTCTCATGTAGTGCCCACTTAAACCTTCAACCAGCATTTCCTTTCTTTTCCTTCTGCAAAATCTATTATTTCTTCAGAAGTACTGTTCCTTCTTGCTTCGAGTCACTGCCCCTATGGCAGTGAGCTAGAGAGCAGGTATCTGTACTGGTGAAGTGAACTCCAAGAGTCTTCCTCTCAATGACTCCCTGTGTCAGGGCCCTGCCAGGGAACCAGCTGTCCCTAAAAAAGGTGTGTGAGATACAAAAAAAATCCACGAAAACCCAGCCATAAGACTATTCCCCATATGAATCCCTGGACTACAGATTTGAACTCCAGCACATTGCCCTGTCAGGAAAACATATGTACGTGTTTTTGCTGTACACAACCTTGCCATGGCTAATGGGGGAAGGCAGTCCCAGGAAGCTAGCTGAAGTGACAATTTCACAGTTTTAAGAAGGAAAGAATACATTTTTTGCACAATGTATGTGGCATTATTTTGTCCCAAGAAATCACCGTCAGCAACGCCTGAGCCGAACTGTCATCACGAGACTGTAGCTGGTGGCATGTTGCAGGTAGGCGAGGTGGCAAGGGGGGGATGCTCAAGTCAAGGCTTGAGGATGTCTTATCAATAGAGAAGCAATAAGCTATAAACACCAAACCAGCTTTCAAGCCCTAAAGCCCTTCTTCGGGTCTGATGCAACCTTCAAGTCAGAGGTAAGCTGACAAGCTGGAACCAAACCTGATTATAATTCAGATCTTTCAGGCTCCAGCACAGACAGAGTGGGACTGTAATCCCATTGCATCTGTTTTATGCCACGGGTATTTTGTGCCGTACTTGGTATATTAATGAGTACAAAGAATGCACTAAAAATTAAGCCTCCTTCACAAGAAGCATTTGTAAGACACTCTAGTGGCCGGAGAGAAACTAGACTCAGAAAAGTAAAATTCTAGTAGTGTTGAACTCCTGTTACTGCAGAGGCTGAAATTGTCTTTTGAAATTCTGAGGCGGCCTTGGTACATTGTCAAGTGAGGTGCCCAAGGTTCAACTGCAGAAAAATGTGTTTCAGCAGCTAAAGGATCACAGTTAATGCTCAATAATCTATAAATCATAGTTATGATATTTCTCTATGCAAATGAAATTTATATAACCCTCATCAATCTTAAAAAAAAAATCATAAAGATTAGATTTTGCAGCTGCAATGTGAACTAAAGAATCCCTTAACCTGTTTTCAAGATATGTCTTTAGAGCTAATTAATTTTTCGATGGAGTGTTCTTTGAAAGGACTAATGGATAGCGAGCATTGCTGATTGATTATAAAATGAGCAGGAGGGTTTTAAGAAGCGAGCTGTGAATGTAAAATCACTAGCAGGCTTTATTAACCTTGGTGTATTAAAATTCTAAACTAGGCAAGTGAGAGAAGCAATACTTCTGTATTGCTGCTGAGAATATTTTATTTATTTAACACTAATAAATTTCTCTTAGATGGTCTATACCAAGCAGATCCATCAGACTGTCCTCTGACCTATATATTAACAGGTGAGAGACTAAACCTCACCTCTGAAGAATACAGAATCTGGATTCTATCAGACTGCAAAATGTAACTTTATACATTATGAAATGGCCAAAAAAAGCCCCAAACCAGCTACTGTGAGGAAAAGGAAAGGAAATGTAATTCATATGTCACCCTGCTAGGATTGTTTCTCAGAGCTGCAAATCTACAGGTAACTTTTATTGACCCATCGTTAACAAACAGAGACAACATTTATGGACAAGCCAGTTAATCTGCAACAGCCTGAAAACACCAGGAGTAAACTGGTGGTTGTTAAACACTACAAAATCCCCAAGAACACACAATCTCTGGGTGAGAGAAGAAGGGAAAACAAGAGCTATCGCCTTACCCGTTTCCGCAGATTGCAGGTGAGCGTGAGATTCCTTGAGAATGAGTTGGCAAAAGCAGTATAAAAGTCCAACACTTTAAGCAAGGCTTCTCGTTTAATAATATGTAAATCGCAGTATGTCAGAGCTCGTACATTGGCACATGCATGGGCCAGACTGGTTTCCTTCCAGAAGATATCACCAAACACATCACCTTTACCTGAAAAACAGCAGGACAAATTTGTTAGAAGGTAATGCTTATGTTGTGTTCTTCAGTACATAAACGATTCTTTCCCAAACTGTGTTATGCTTCCAAATATTTTAAAATAAGCTCCCAATTGTGAAAATTAGTGAGGGTAAAAGTTTTAAAAGCATCTGATATACTTCAGCATCTTAGTGGCAGCCTCAGTTTTTTAAGATATTTATAGATGGCTCCAAGAAGTGGCACAAACCATAAAAGCCAGACAGTAAAGGTCTCCTTGTAGCTGAAGGTGCAGGTAGCAGACAATGGATTTTTTCAAAATGTCCTGAATATAAAAAGCACTTAACTAATGTTAAGGTGACTGAATATTTCTGAGGGTCTGCTCCAAGGTGACATAGGAACCCCGCTCTTACCAAAAGACCACGACATCTAGATTCCTACATCACCACAGCTTTCCAGTGTGGTGGAAGAGTCAGTTTCCAGGGCACAAAGGACCACATTTTAAAGAATGTTGAAACATCTTAAATTCAGTGTGAGTAGCAACAGTCCTTCTGAAAAGCCCACCAAAAACTTCCCTAAGACTTTTAACCTCTAAATAACCAACCAGCTCTAAACCTTAAACACATCCAGAAACCTAGTTCTAAACCCAAACACAATTACTTAAGGAAAAGCTTACCCTTAAGTCTGTATTTAAAAGTTTGCTGAGTAACAAAGGGTTTGACACCTTAGATATCTGCACATATGAATAATTTCAATCAGATGTATTCCACCTGAAGGCTACTTTTACGTCGGTAGGCAGTGTAGCAGAATGGCTGATGCTGAGGACTTGCACATTTTGATGACCTAGGACTAGCTGTAGTCCAGTCCCATAGACAGAAGAGCTCTAGTGGGTGGAAATTAATATGATGTGTTCTGACACACCCCGGTTTCCTTTTCTCTGCAAGGAATCCACTTCCCTAGACAGTCGTGCTAGACATCAAAGCAGGAAAAGTTGAGAGGGTCAGGACATCAAAATCACACCCCTGACCAAACCAAAACACTAGCATGGATACAGACTGGAGATACACTTCCAGGTTTGAACCTTATGGTTGCCCTGAGAAGACCTAGTGGCAGCAACAAAAAGTGCATTGAAGCATCCAAAAGCTGCCTCTTGCTGCCCAGCTGCTCGCCAGCCACGAGCTGGGCAAGGGCTATGGTGTGTGACCTGTGGCTGACACCTCAAATCCTGAAGCAAAAACCGTGGTACAACGGGTGTCTTTTGTTTCAGACCCCAGTGATATCCAGGCTCTTGAGTTTGGCAATTACTAACAGGAAACTAAAATCAGTCAGTCAGTGGTGGCATCACTATTGATTTCAGGTACCTCAAGCAGCCCCTTGGTAAAGGGTAGTGATTTTACCATTTTTTGATAAAAAAAAGGTAATACATTTTAACATTTCCTCTTTTAAGAACTTGAAAAATTTCACTCAACTCTATTTTGGGAGCACAGATCAGAATAATAATTTAACCAATCTCATTACTTTTGGGGAGTAGAGTATTTCCATTTCTTCTTTAGGTATTGTATCCAGTAAACCATATCTATAACTTCTCGTGCAGACTTAAATAAAATGTGGAAGTTCTCATCTTCATTTCCTTGTTTTTATTTTTTAATAAAAGTCTACATAGCAGTCATTCTTTAGAAAGGCTATAACTTCATTCTCATTGAACTGCCTTTAATTACATCAAAATACGTAGAATTAGCTACAATACATAATATAGCTAGTGTAATTTATAGATCAAATTGCTTTAAAATGCTCTCTTTATCACTGAGCATTTCCTAGTAACATATCATTTATCCAATGTAAAGGATGTTTTGAAATTATCCTTTGCAGTTAATTGTCCTTGTCTATATCCGAGTTCAAAACTTGTTTTCAAAGACTCATAGAATGATTTGTATTGGAAAGGACATTAAAGATCATCTAGTTCCCATCCTCTTGCCATGGGCAAGGACACCTCCCACTAGACCAGGTTGCTCAAAGCCCTGTCCAGCTTAGCCTTGAACAGAGAGGGAGCATCCTCCACAACTTCTCTGGGCAACCTGCTCCGGTGTCTCGCCACCCTCACGGTAAAGAATGTCTTCCTGATATCTACCCTCTTTCAGTTTTTACTACCCCTTGTCCTGTCACTTACATGTCCTTGTAAAGAAGTCCCTCTTCAGCTTTCATGTAGGACCCCTTTAAGTACTGGGAGGCCGCTATGTCCCTGGAGTCTTCTCTTCTCCAGGCTGAACAACCACAACTCTCTCAGCCTGTCCTTGTAGGAGAGGTGCTCCAGTCCCCTGATTATCTTCATGGCCCTCCTCTGGACTCAATCCAATAGGTCAATGTCTTTCTTGTGTTGGGGACCCCAGAGCTGGGTGCAGTACTCCAAATGGAGTCTCACGAAAGTGGAGAGAGGTACTACCCTCGATGTGCTGGTCACACTTCTTTTGACAAAGCCCAGGATATAGTTGGCTTTCTGGGCTGCAAGTGGACATTGTCAAGTCATGTTGAGTTTCTACTCAACCAACACGCCCAAGTCCTTCTCTGCAGAGCCACTCTCAACCCACTCACTGCCCAGCCTGCCTTTTTGCTTGGGACTACCTAACCCATGTGCAGCATTGTGCACTAGCCTTGTTGAAATTCATGAGGTTTGCATGAGCCTACCTCTTAAGCCTGTCAAAGTCTCTCTGGATGCCACCCCTTCCCTCCAGCGTATTGGCCACACCACACAGCTTGGTGCTATCAGCAAACTTGATCCCACCGTCAGTGTCACTGACAAAAATGTTAAACCACACCATTCCCAGTATAGACCCCTGAAGAACACCACTCATGACTGGTCTCTACTTGGACATCAAGCTGTTGACTGCAACTCTTCCAGTGTGACCATCCAGCCAATTCCTTATCCACAGAAGGGTCCATCCATCAAATCCATGTCTCTCCAATTTAGAGACAAGCATGTCATGTAAGACAATGTCAAATGCTTTACACAAATCCAGGTAGATGATAATGCTGTAACCCTGCTTTTGCCTTCTGTGACTTGGGTGGTGTGGCTGGAGCACTTGCCAGTGAAAACAGAGTGCTTCACCTTTCTCCATGTCTCTTGTAACCAGGTCCTATTTTTTTCTGAAGAGGGCCCACTTTTTCTCTAGTCTTTCTTTTACCACTGTCATACTTATAGAAGCTTTTCTTGCTGCCCTTGATGTTCATGGCCAGATCTAATTCTAGCAGGGCTTTAGCTTTCCTAACCTGACCCCTGGCTGCTCAAACAATTTCTCTGCATTCCTTTCAGGCTACATGTCCTTGCTTCCACTCTCTCCAGGCTTCCTTTTTGTGTTTGAGTTTGTCCAGGAGCTCCTTGTTCATCCATGTAGGCCTTTTGGCATTCCAAATGGATGACCTCTTTGTTGAGATGCATCACTCCTGAGCTTGGTGGAGGTAAGCCTTGAATACTGAGCAGCTTTCTTGGGCCTCTCTTACCATCAGGGCTCTATTCCATGGTATTCTGCCGATCAGGTAGAGGCCAAAGTCTGCTCTCCTGAAGTCCAGGCTGTGCACCCTCCTCACTCCCCTAAGGATCTTGAACTCAGCTGTTTCATGGTCACTGTAGCCAAGGTTGCCCTTGAGCTTCAGATTCCCCACCAGCCCCTCCTTGTTGGTGAGAAAAAGAACAGCATCTCTCTTTGCTGGCTTCTCTATGACTTTACAGATTACTCAGGTTTACAGACATACTCAGCACAGTTACATAATTTATAAGAAATAGAACATTTTTGAAATGTACAAAATTGCTTAATGGATTTTCTCTCTGAGGTGGACACAGGACAGAATTAGAGTCCTGCTTTCAGCGGCTGCAGAATGCAGTTAAAAAGATGGGATTCAATAATAGGGACTATTATGATTTTCTCACTGAAACATGAGCAAAATACATGTTTCCTTTCTGAATTTAAAGTAATACACAGTTAATTTAAGCAAAGACGCTTGCTCTGAACCTCTGCATGCGTGTTGCAGAATGTATACTCAAACCACAAATAAAGGAAATCACCATCCATAAACTTAAGAAGATCTTCTCATTATTTTTAGTTCAGTGAGGAGAGATCTGCACCGGGTCCCTCAGAAAGGCTAGGACATGATGAACTAAACCTATTCACTTCTTCCATGAGCCACTGGTCACTGGATTTGAGTGGTGAAGCCAAGATCCCCTTATACTATGGTTTATTCTCTTCAGAAAGTATAAAAACTTGGAAGCGTTTCTAGGTTCTTGAATTTGATGTTTCCCTCACACACTTCTGAGTCTTGTGTGCCTGTCATAAATGTGCTAAGGAATGTACTGAAAACAAAATCAACCAGATTCTCCACAAAGACATGTCTTCCCTTATAAATACAGAGATTAATGTACTATACTTTGTCCCTATTAACTGCAGTTCACTGAGTAGAGAGTGGTGATTATTCATTCAAGTTTAATTTTACACAGTGCAACTAAATGAAAAAAAAAATAAATTCAGAGTTGCAGTAGAAAATTTAACTGGTAGGTCTGAAACACAAGCTACTCAGAGGCACGTATACATTGCATGATGTGCACACCTCCAGGGAAAGCCCAGGGCTGGGCTGGGAATACAGAGGTGCTTGGGGCTGAAACTGCCTGCAGACTTTTCAAAGCCTCTCTTCTAAGAGATGTCTTGAGATCCCTGCGTATTATCTCCCAAATCTGCACTAGCCTGAGTGCTGAGCGGTCCTGATAACTCTCCTGAATGGAGACGAAGCTCTGGGAAGACCTCCTGCCCCTGTTCTCACAGCATCCAAAACACCACCGGAAAAGAGAATGTCGTAAAACAGAGTGGGAACTTGCACACATTTTGCACTTGGTCGGAGGAAAAAGAAACAGAGAGTCAGGATTTGGATACTACTGGATTAAAGCTGGCAGGAACATGGTTGTAAGGATTTGGAGACTGAAAGAATCACAGAAATCAGGAGGACATGTGTAGGGTGTTGGTGACAGGCATAAT